TGTAAAGTACTATGTTTCACTTCCAGGCCCTTGGAACGTAACAGGCCATCTAGGGCCAGGAGAAGCGGACTTGAAGATGCGGCACCCATGACACAACAACAAAAGAAGCACAAAAAACAAAAGCGAAATGACACAACAAAAGAAACACAGAAAACAAAAGCGAAAGTAGAAGCAAAAGTACACAGTGCAGCTGCAATAAAATGTAATGCTCTCTCTTTCTTTACAGAGGAGCTGCCCCGCTTTGGTCGCGGATCCCACTTACCTGGGACTAACCCCGCTTTGATCGCGGATCCCACTTATTGGGACTAACCCCGCTTTGGTCGCGGATCCCACTTACCTGGGACTAACCGGTGCACCACCCATGACTGCTGGAAGTTCTGGTTCCCGGGTTTCGGCACCACTTGTCGCGACCCCTTGCCCACAAGGAAGACGCAACTCAGGAATCTTCTTTCAGCAGTTTATTCAGGCCCTTGATATTTCTTCTTCTCTCTCCCGGATGCCCCTCCCAGCCTTAATAAAGCATCTCAAGCCCCAATGCGAAGCTGCCACGTGGAGCTTTCTCACAGGGTGGTGAAAAACCATGCGCCAACTCTCCCAAATAAGGAGTTGTTTGTAACAGACCACAGCGGAGCCAGTGCCATCTTGTAATGGCGACCATAGTCTGCAGAAACGGCAGAAGCGGCTCACCACAGAATGAGATGGACATCATTACACTAGGTACATGTACAGTTGCATGAATGGTGCATCGCTACACCGTGTACAACCACCAGAGAACTGAAATGTTGCACTCCATTTGTGTATGATGAATTGAAATACATTCTGCTGTCATTAAAAACTAAGTGAAATAAAATAATAAAAATTATCCTCTGAAAGTTGACATGATCTTCATTGACAAGTGGTCAACTAATTGCAGATAATTTTTGCAAGATACTAAATAACCAAATTACTAATATTATTACAATTCATGTAATCTATACAGTAGTGTAAATATTGAATTACTACTAAAACACCGTATCTCTTCTCTGTTCCTTTGGGCTTATGACTATGAAATATGCAAATAAAACCATGTCATTGTCAACTTGCTGTTCTTTAAAATGATACTTTGTGTGTGTGTGTGTGTGTGTGTGTGTGTGTGTGTGTATGGATGTGTTAGTGAGGATTGGACAGAAGGCCTTGCACATACTAAGCAGGCAGTCTACTGATGAGCTATATTCCCCAGAGCTTTAAAAAAAAAAAAAATCTGAGACAAGATCTTGCTTGCCTTGAACTTGCAATCCCCCCAGTAGCTGGAATTACAGGAGTACACCACCACACCTGGCAGTACTACCTAGGTTCATGCTAGGCAAAACACTATTTCTTCTCATCACACACAGAACACATGAAATAATTCGAGCTATAGTCTTATTACAGCTACCAGTTAATAAAAACCATGGTGCTATAGCTGTCAGGGAATTTTTGTTATTTTAAAGAAATGTGAAGTCCTATAGGGAACTACAAAATAGTCAACTTACTCTACATTATAGTCATATCTCAATTATCCAGCTGTCAATTTTCTAGAACCTCAACTCCTTCTATTTCATAAAGTAGGAAGCAACAAAATAAAAAAAGCCCTTTTGAGTAGTAAATATTTTTTTAAAGCCATGTACTTTTTCTTTATAAAATAAACTCTCAAAGTCTAAAGAAATCATAATTGTAGGTTAACTAAGGTTTAAACGTTTATTTACATGAGTACTCTTTGTCTCAGAAAACTTTGCTTAAATCCTTTCCAGTCTATAGCAGATTATGAATGTTTAGAAACTAGGTGGGAAAGAAAACCACTAAGTACACTGTGAATATAAACAAACATGAAGACTCCCACAGAATATATATGAAAAAACAAATATAAAAAAAAATCACAATCTAAGGATGATTCTTCTATCCATATCCAGTTCCCTGTGAACACAACCATATTACAGTAACACACAATACTCAAGGTTCATAATCTCAGTAAGTAGGAAAGACTATCCTGCCAAAAATGATTTTTAAAGTATGAAATATTTAATATATTCTAGAAAACCCTTCAATAAGAAGGCATTTTAATGTTCTGGTCTTAAATTGGCTTAAAGTTGTTTAAAGAACAAAGTGTGATTTATAAACAGGTATCAAAAATGGGTTTCCAAAGATGTAATTCTTCACCAGGAAATTTATATCTGGAATTAAAATAACAAAATCAAGGTTCTACAAAATTATAATTAGTATAATTTCACAAGGGACTTGTCATAGAATATACTTTTAGATTCTGGAACACTTGGTAGAAATCAAAACAGAGCCTCTTTAAGTCTTACATGAGTCAACCGGCTTTGCCTCCCTTAATTCTCCCACAAGTTCCATCTCCTCAAACTTCCATGTCTCCTCAAAGAAAAGATGTATTTACAAGGTATTTATGCAAATTCTGTATAGGAAAGATTACCTTACATCCACTAATGTCAAAGACAAATATGTCAATTAGTGATTAAAACAATATTGATTACAACCCCACTATCAATTCTAGATGCTGTTATTAAATTGCATTTTGAGTAAACCTAATAATTAATTTACTTATAAAAGTGATATATCAAACTGTGTAAATCAGTGACTTATGTACAGAATATCCAGGAGTTGTTTTTTAAAATCTTTTTTTTTTTTTTTGGTGGTGGTGCCGAGGATTGAACCCAGGGCCCTGTGCATGTGAGGCAAGCTCTCTACCAAGTGAGCTATATCCCCAGCCCTTAAATCATTTTTAAAAATGCTATTTTACATGAAAAGTAAAACTTTTGAAAATGTTCATTTCTTTCAAAACAATTCTTTAATGTTTTAAACTGGGGATGAAATCCAGGGGCACTTTTTAATCACCAAGGTATGTCTCCAGTCCTTTCTATTTTGAAAAATGTTGTCCAGGATGTCCTCAAACTCTCCATCTTCCTGCCCACAGCCTCCTGTGTGGCTGGGTTTGCATGTGTGCATCACTGTGCCCCATTAAACTTATTTTTACAGCCAGGTGTGGTGTGTACACCAGTAATTCCTGTGCCTCAGGAGACTAAGGCGGGAGGATTACCAGTTAATGACCAAGCCTTGGCAACTTAGTGAGCCTCCCCAATTTCAAATTTTTTAAAAAAGTATGAGGCAGCTAAGGAAATATAGCTCAGTGCTAGAGGTCCTGAGTCTAATACCTTACACCACCAAAACAACCCCCCAAAAAAGGGTGTTTTTTTGTTTGTTTCTGTTTTTGTATGGATTAAACCCAGGGGTGCTTTAGCACTGAGCTACATCCCCAGGCCTTCTTGTTTCTTGAGACAGTCTCTCACTAAGTTGCTTAGGGCCTTACTAAGTTGCTGAGACTGGATTGTGATCCTCCTGCCTCAGACTCCCAAGCCACTGGGATTACAGAGTGTGTGCCACCACTCCTGGCCAATGGGCTTAGATTTAACCTCTGCTTGCTTTTTTTTTTTTTTTTAAAGATGTTGATGGACCTTTATTTTATTCATTTATTGCTAGGCAAGCACTCTAACACTGAGCCACAACCCCAGCCCCTGTTTGCTATTTTTTTTTAAGTGCCCTAAATATGTGCGAGGCCCTGGGTTTAATCCCTAGTACACAACCTCTCCCCATTTTTTTTTTTTTTTGAACTTTTTAACAAGCTTCAAAATGTTCAAATTTTTAACATTTTATCTTTTTAGCACATAATGGTTGAATCCACTTGGTAAAATAAAACAACAAAATATAAACTAGTTTAATTATCTAGCCCAGGTCATACAGAGAAGTGCTGAGTATCAAACTGACAACATCCAGAAGGGAACCAGTGGCCAAGATCAGGCACGTGCAAACTCAAATGTTTTCCAATATCAAACAATTGCTCCTCCAAAACTTAACTGTTTGCTATAGTTTCATAACTTGTGCAGGGTACACAACCTTAAGGTTAAAGCTGCTCATGTAATAACTAAGGAAACATAAAAATAGTAATTAAATAATAAGAAACAAAATAGTTTTGACAGGTAGGATTTAACTTCAGAGGGCTTAAATCCACTACCTAAGGTTTGTGTAATTACCTAAACTAATTTTGCCCATTTGATGATAATATATCATGCCCCCCCAATTGAGAAGGAATGTCATAGGGTGGAGAAAAAAAAGCAATTCAATATCTTCTAGTAAATACAAGAAACAAAAAGTAGATTAGTGATTTCGAACATGTATTTTTTTGTTCTAACAAAAAGTACATTTTATATCATTTGTGAAGGCTTTTATTGGTTTGCTTTAAATCCAGTGGAAAAATCTGTTGAAGGACACATCTCATTCCTTGAGGATACTAGACAAATATGGTGTTACTTAGTATCCAGTTTCTCTACTCACTTCTTATACTATAATTATGATCAAGTCAGATATTGCTAGAGTTATCATTACTAAATATCTGACTTGATCATAATTTATAGAATAATTCTGATTACTCCTATTGTGCTCTAGTCTGGTTATTAAAGAGTCCAAGAATCCATGTTTGTCACTTCCTACTACAGTACTTACTAAAATCTATTTATTTTGGATTAAAATGAATACAGTGGATTATTTTTACATCTTTCTGTAGTCTAAGGGCAAAGTTTTTTTTAAAAAAATAGGACATTCTTTTATATGAACCCTGACATCTTCTATATAAGCAAAAAGAAAATAAATAGTTGGGAAGACTGAATTTTTTTTTTTTTTTTTTTTGAAGTTTGAGGACAAGGTAGAAAGAGACATATTCTCTTTGAAGTATGGAAGCTGGCTAAATATTATCTTATTTTTAAAAAAAAAACATTTAAGATGAACATGCTATAATTACTAATATCACGTGAGGGACAAGAAGAAAACAAAAGCAAAGTTTCATAAAGATTAATTCAAGTAAACGTATCTGCAGTGGAGTAAGAAAATCCTTGCCTCCTTAGCTAAATAAAAGCAGTCAACTTTGCACTAGTGTGTATTTTCAAGCAAATACAAAAGCAAAACTCATTAGCTCTTTAAAAAATACACACATTTAATGTTGGTCTGTTTTAATTCTAAGTAAAGCAATTCCAAAAATACAAACTGAACATCAGAGCCATGTGAACCACCATGATAAAATAAAACAGACATTCACAATAATTACGTCTAAAGACAGTTCAGCTCAATAAATTGTCTTCCAAGTATGTTCAAGAAAGAGTTACTAAAAATACTGCTGGTGTTCAGTTAGAATTCAAGGACTTTGGGGGAAATGAAGTAATATGATACAGGTGGAGTGAATAAGGTTACACGGGATTTACATTTTCCATTACCCCTAGACATAAACAAACATTCAAAAATCAACACAAACTCTGTGTGTTATTCAAAATATTGCAGCTGCAGGAAAGGCAACTTTAAATTAATAGCTAGGGGGAAATCAAGTTTTGGTGGAGGTAAACAGAAGTGACAGTTTTTAATTTGCACTTTTGTAAAGCTCATTTATACCTGGTCAACCAGGAACCAAATGCAGGACAACGCAGTTCTCTGCTTCTTTTGGCTATGTGACGAGAAAAAGTCATCTTTTGAAGATGTTTAAAGAAATAAAGCAACTTTCTTTACAAACAGTCAAATAATCAATTAATGGAATAAATAAGTACTAACCCACATTTTTACCACTCTGTCATCACTACACTTTATATATTTTTCATTTTGGTGGCAAATTCCCCAATTATTAGTCTAAAATCCACCAGCCATTTTGTAAAAGTAAAATGAATAGCCACCAAAATAAGAATATTCTTCTGTTTACTCTTTGGCTAAGAAAGAAAACAAAACAAAACAAAAAGAAACAAGGCAACTCTAACACTGGTGATAAAAGAAACTATTTTCTTTTTTTACACGTAAAATAAAGTTATCAATTTAAATCTTGGTACATTTTATAAAAACAAGAGGTAATGTTGTAAAAAAAAACAGCAGTAGCCTTAGCTGGCAACATACTGTTTGTTAACCCTGTGCAATAAAATACTTTGTTCATACTACACTTATTCAAACATTACTAACAGTTACTACAGACATTTCAGGAATCGTCACGGGACTCCTACAGACTTACTGTTAAAACTGAGAGACATTTACAATCATAATGTGCCATGAAAAATTGAAAACGTTACTTATAAAAGGAGATGTTGATATTATTTGAATTTGTTTTAGGTATGGAACAGCTGAGTTACAAGGACTGAAAGTGAAAAGCATTCTAAAAGCCCATGAACACTGTTGTTCACACCCTTCTTCAGTACACACTAAACTTGTCTGACACATTTCTCTTCATACATAGCAAGCAACAGCACCCAATAAAAGCCTGAGAAGAAATGCTGCTGTGTAAATACTGCAACTATTCCTGAAATAAAGAATTATGGGATATATACTCCAAAGCTGCCCATTCCCATAATTTGTATTGCATAGGTCACATATCCACACACATATATATACACACGTGTATATATATGTACATGCAAAGAATATATTAAGACGACAATGAAGTCTAGTCACAGAGCAATTTACAGGCTCAATATATTTTTTTTTACACTTTGCTTGAAAGAAAATTTCAATATTTTACAGTCTTTCAGTAGGCATTATATACACTGCACTTTATGAAATCTAAAAGGTATTGAAATAAATTTCTTCCAACATTTTGGTAACAAAACAGACAATGTTTCTCCAAAGACTTGTGCTATCTACATGATCTGTTTGCTCTGATAACCACTAATCACAAAAACTGACTCAATGGAATAATTAGAAAAATTATCTAACACCATGCATGGGTTTGAATCAATTTTAATATCCTATCCTAGAAACATTCTACAAATCTTAAGATTTAAAAAATTAAGTCTCTGTTCTGATTTGTAAAAGATATCTTTTTATGACAATATCCATAACATCAACAAGTACATGTTAAGGCTAGTATCATCTTCTTTTGTGATTTTTGTTGTTGTTGTTCTTGTTGTTTTAAGAAAGAGTTAAAAGCCAGACTTCTTTAGGACTTTGAACGATACCTACATAAAATGAGAGTGCAGTGAACATAATGTTCAGTCCTACAGTCAGGATGCAGTTGCTCCTTCCCATTCCACAAGATACTGCACCTTTCCATCAAGTGTCACCCGACGAGCCAAAACTCTGTATTTTTCGCCACATGCTATTCTACCTGCAGCACCAAAATAACTAGTAATGGAGTTTTTCAGATGATTAAGTTGTAACTCCTGATCTGCTAAGTTATTCAGAATCTCTGTGTTGAGTTCCTCAAATTGATAATCTTCTTTGCCTTCATCATCTTTTACAATTTCTGAGTTCTGAGTCTGGAGTGCTCTTCTCGGAAGACGACCTCTTCTTCTCCGCAAATGTGGTATTGCAGCAGGCCAAGATCTTCCTGTGCGAGTTCTTTTTCTGGAGTCAGACAACCTATGTAACAGAAAAGGCCAAAATTGTCTAAGTTTTTAAAACATCCTCTGCCCACAGATGTTCTCTGGTTTTGGGGATCATTCTACTCTTAAGTACACACCCTTGCTTACATAAAAATCAGCCAAACTACAGCAATAAATGACAATCACTTGCTTTCCTTATTTCAGAGTCCAGCACTTTTGTATAGTGTTTCTTCCTAACTAGACACTATTAAGCTTAAAAAAAAAAAAAAGTAAGTTTTAAGCTAGGAGTTCAAGAGGCAAATTCTTATCAAAAGGCTATAAGTCATATATTTTTAATAATCTCATCATCAAAAAAAGCAAAAACAATAAAATAAAAAACTTTTAAAAAATCATCCATTCATTCACTAAAACAAATATTGAAGATCAACTACATAAGACCCTGTTCCATGTGCTTAAATAATAAAATTAGAATAAAGGTGGTTTTAGTGAATTAAGTGAAGGAGTTAAACTATATGTTTGAGATCTTCTTCAAACAAATGCAAGCAATTGATTTTATGATATTATAACAAAAAAGGAGAATACAGCATGACAGCTAAATTCAAAAACTTTACAATAACATTTTTTTTTTTTTAAATTTTTGTACCATGGATTGAACTCTGGGGCAGTTGGCTACTGAGCCACATCCCCAAACCTATTTTGTATTTTATTTAGAGATAGGGTCTCAATGAGTTGCTTAGCACCTCACTTTTGCTGAGACTGGCTCTAAACTCGAGATCCTCCTGTCTCAGCCTCCCGAGCTGCTGGGATTACAGGCATGTGGCATTGCACCCGCTTACAATCACAATTTCCTTTTTTTTTTAATTAAAGATATATTTTTTTTAAATACAGAATATCTTTATTTATTTTTTTTTTAATGAGATGCTGAGGATCAAACCCAGTACCTCACAAGTTCAAGGCAAGCGCTCTACCCCTGAGCTATAACTCCTGCCCCACAATCATAATTTCCTAACAATCCAGCTGTGATATATGCTAAACATGTGACAGTGGACTTAACATTTGATACCCTAAACTGTTTCCTAAAATATAAAATGGAGAACCTATAACTAAAAAATTATTTGAAGAATTAAATTAAAAATTTTATATAAAAAGCTTAGCAGAGTACCTAATTAAAGGGCAAAAAAAAAAAAATACCTCATGCTAGGTATGGTTGCACACACCTGTAATCCCAGTGGCACAGGACACTGAGGCAGGAGGATGCTGAGTTCAAAGTCAGCCTCAGCAACTTAGCAAAGCGCTAAGCAACTCAATGACACTCTGTCTCTAAATAAAATACAAAAAATGGATGGGGGTGTGGCTCAGTGGTTGAATGCCCCCAAGTTGAATCCCTACCCCTTACCAAAACAAAGCTCACATTATCACATTTTAGCTCTTGAATTTAGAATGTTACATTATTTAAAAGATCATTTTTTGAATTGTGAATAAAACTTTAAGAATGTGTAAAACTTGAAAACAAGTAATTCCGACCTCAAGTAGACTTAACTTTTCATATTGATATGATGGTTTTGGAAAAATGTGTCCTTCTAGAGTTGGGTTAAATAAAATTTTAATAAAGGGGACTGATATATTTTTACAATTCCAAATTTAAAATCCTTTAATTGACAAGGCTTATCAGTATCTGATAAATCAGACACGATTCGAATTATTTTTAAAAAAATCAGCAAGACACTTTTGTTAACAGCAACATTAAAAGGCCTAAGAGAAAGGGCACAGTCTCTAAATCCTTCTATCAACTGCCTCTGAAAGACAGACTATTCAATCACCACTGGGGTAGGGGTGGGGTGGGGTGGGGGTGGGGTGTGCACATCCAAGAGAAAATTGTTACAGAATAAAAACATAAAATGGCTACCCATAATGCCTGGAAATGCTAGACGAGGTAGTTTCTTTTGCACTGGAAGCACCCGTGAAATCCACATCTGAGGTATTAGAAGAATGTGCAGGACCCTCAGTTCTCCTGAGACAAAAGAATTTAAATGGTATAACAACTATATTACATAACAATAGAAATACTAATCACCCCCCAAAACTTTTTTTCCCTAAGAAAGAAGAAAATAACTTTCTATTTACCCTATAGAACAAGGTAAATCCAAGGTAGGACTCTCTGTAACTGATTCCTTATCCTGGAAAAGAAAAAATATATACTTAAAGCATAAGTCTACAGTAAGTAAAAACATTAGCTTCTTAGTAATTTCATTCATTCTTCCTCTCTGAGAATATATATCAAAATAAACTCTTACCAATGGTGGCTCAGCAGTTTTTTGAATCATTTTTCTTGTGTATGGGCCAGGAGGACGACCTACAGATTTTTTCTTTCCTTTTTTTTCTATTCCATTGCTTACTTCTCTGAAACAGAAAACCATTATGTATTTAATCTCTGCATAAAGGAAACAAAAATAGTTTTACACATGTATTTAAATATATACAGATTTTACTTTTATATTAATGTCAACAAAAACTATATTAAATGTAAACTGGATCTACTAGTTTATAGGTATAGATAATACATTCTAATTTTAAATAAATATTTCTTAACTTGAGATTATGAAAGGTTTACAGTAAGAAAGGTTTAAGGAAAAAAAATGTTCTCTTTAGTTCTGGAATATACATAGCACCTAAAGATTTAAAAAACAACAACCAACCGAACAACCATACTGGATAAGAGAGATTTCAAATGTTTTTAAAAGTTTAATTAATTGGTTTAGATTGTTCCTACTTGAGGCATTTTTTGAGATATTACTTCTAAAAATTACTGAAATTGGTAGTTAACCTTAGTAACTATGTTAAAATTATAGTAGCTATCAATACAGATTTTTTTTTTTCCCCTTGAATGACACTATCAGAAAGAGGATGAAGCCTAGACTGGCAGAATGTAAAGGAGAAAGGAATAAAGAATCCTTCATTGAATGGCAATGAATGGCAGGGAGCCATTCATAGGGTAAACTTAAGATTTGGAAAATCATTATTGAAAGACAAAGACAAATATTAAGCAAAATAAAGCAGAAAGTACAGTAGCCAAGGACATATCTAATAGAAGGGAAGAAGAAGCAAATAGCAATATACAGAACATGTATTTCATTTACTTAACAAAAAATAACTATTATGGAAAGAAGATATTAGATGACAGGAATACAAAGATGTTACTGGTGCAAAGGGGTTCATAATAATAATTAGAAGTTAACAAATATTTATACAAGCAAGCTAATAAAATGGGGTACTGTGAGAAAGTTACCCAGGAAAATTCAATTATGGAAAAAGGGAAAATGAAAAATACTATATAATAATAAGTTAGGAAGAGTCAAAAAAGGGTCGGGGAGGAAAACCCTATCCCACAAGATGCCAAACTAAGGTCAGGGAATAAAAAGAAAGTATGAGGAAGGAAAAAGTGGGGGGGAAAGAAGAACAAAGCAGAACTAGATATAATCAAAAGTTTCAAGGATAAGATGGATGAAATTCTTTTTTAAAAAAATAACATTTATAAAGGACCACTGTACTTAAGAAAATACTCTCATACTAAAAGGATCAATCCATACATAGGGTCCAGAAGAAACTGAGGACACATTTGAAGAAAGTTGAATCCTTATGTAGTAGCACCAAATGATCTGATAGGTGAGCTGCTATTGATGGAACATCGTATCAAAATCATCATAGCAATGAGAAAGAAAATTTGTGGATTTTTTTTCCTAATTCATAATATGGACAACTACTAGAAAAAGATTAAAGTGATGGCATTTAAAAGTGATAGGAATAGTAAGCATTTTTTTCCTTCTTGAAAGAAACCTTACAGTCTTATCTGCTTTATTACAAACTTCAAATTGCTATGATACATCACCAACATTTTGTAATTACATTTTCTTACTCTCCAAGATGACTATTTTATTTACTCTTTAGGTTGTCCTCTCTGTGTAACTCTGATCTATAATTTTTACTTCATATTCCACTAAGAAAACAGAAGCTACCAACTTGTTTTTAGTCATCTTCCAACTTTCCAATGTGTAATACAACCAGTATCTATCTATACTCATCTTCTTTTTCACCACATTTCAACAGAAAGGTGTTTCTCCTTCTATCAAAGCCATATCCCATTGATGCTCTAGATCCCTTTCTCAAAGGTGCTACAATATCTTCAATTAGTTCCACTCTCTCCTATACCAATATCCTCTTCTCCACTGGATCATTCCTATTAGTGTAAAGAAAGAGATTCTAATTATCTCCCATCAATTAAAAAAAAAAAAAAAAATATATATATATATATACACACACACACACACACACACACACACACACACTATTTCCCATCCCTCCCCTCTTTGGCTGCTATTCCATTTGTCTTCTTCAGTTCACAGTAAAAACTGTCTGAGCCTTGATGACATTTACCCCTTCCACTTTCTCCACTGTCATTCAGAATTCTTAAAGGTAGTTTCCTTCCGCCACTTCCTTTATTATCATTATTCTGAATCTTCTTATGTTCCTCATGTGTAGAAGCCCAGTTTTGACATGTAAATTTGGAACTGCTAAAATCAGTAACATTTCTGGCTTGTATCTTTACTACTCCAAATAAATTATTTTTGATACAAAATGTTATTCAATAAGCATTTTTCTCTCATCTTAATCCACCTCTCACCATCATCCAATACAGCTTAATATATTAATTTTTCTTGAAACACTCTATTTCTTTTAGTTTTTATAACACTGAAATTTTCTGGTTTTCTCCAAACTCACTGATCATTCTTTTTTGTTTATTTTACCTCTCCAAATTTATAAATGATGCCACTATTCTGAGTCACATTCTCTGCTCCACTTGTTTCCTAGATAATTTCATGCATTCTCATGGCTTTCTTTATAAATCACATTCCAAATTTATACAACCTGCCCTGGGCTCTCCTAAAAGCTCTTGACTCACATATCTAATTGCCTAAGTGTCACACCACCATTTAAATGTCCTTCATAAGAATTTCACTCAATGAGTATAAAACAGAAAAGTGCTTCATTCACTTTGCCAAAATAATATTTTTCCATATCCTGTTAATAGACACCACCACCCATGAGTAGCTAGATTCAGAAATCATTTAATCATTTCCTCCCTTTCTCTCATGAATTTAATTAACAGCAAGTTCAATCAATTCTGCCTTGAAAAGAGATCTCAAATCTTTTCTCTCCATTTGATTGTTACCACCTATTCTATTTCTCACCCAAACAACTCCAAAAGTATTTTCTCTTCCATGTTTTTATCTCTATACAATGCATTCTCAAAAGCATATCCAAAGAAATTCTGATAATTAAATCTGCTTATATCCCTTAAATGGATCCTCGGTGTTCTTAGAAAATAACCCAAAGTCTTCTTGAGACTTACAAGACGAAGACCAACCCAATCTTCCCAAAATCTAATACAACTCCCTGATAATGCCATACTAGACTTCTGTGAGTTCCTAGAATGTCTCATGGCCTTTATGCTTGTTATAGAGTGCTTTTCCCTTTATTCTTCATATTTTTAGATCATTCTTATTCTTCCCCATTCTTACTAAGCCTAAACCTTAATACTGTCTTAAATAGTCCTTCCTTAAGTCTCCCTTTTAAAGTACAAAGACCCCATTTCTTCTGATCCTACTAAAGTCTAAAATAGTGTGCAATTTCTTTAAATAGCACTAGCATGATCAGTAAATATTTTACTGTTATTACCTTTTTTTCCCCATATAATATAAAGCCCACCAGGGCAGAAGGAAAATCTGTCTTGTTGTGTTTTCCCAGCACTTATATAATCAGGCATTTGGTAAATGTGCTGAATGAATGAATGAATAAAAATAAATGAACAAACAAATGAACAGGCCAGTAATTTAAGCTGTTTGCTAGCAAAATCAACAGGGTCTATTCCTTGAGGCCAAAGGTCTAAAATAAACAAACATACATAAATCTAGTATCAACTCTTCATACCTTGTCTAAGAAAGAAATTATGGACAGGGGAAAAAAATAATAAATCAAGGTAACTGCCACTTGTACTTTCAAATATACTAATGAAACTAAATAACATACATTTTTAGTTAAAACATAAGCTAAAGAGAAAAACTAAGCCACAGATCAACTTTTACCTTGAATCAGATATAGGTTTGGATGCCTTTCTGCCTTTAATTTTAAATTCATGGGATGTTCCTTCAGGTTCTTTCTCTGCTTTGAAAGCCACATTTGGTGGCACAGGAGGAACACGAATTCGCAACCCAAACAAATGCTTCTTCTTCTTTATTTCTTTCCCAGACATAAACCTAAATTTTTAAAAAAATTAACTAAAATTTTAAAAACTGAACACATATACATGGCAGACCCTAACTTTTTAACTTTCAGATATAAGGTCCTTAGACACAAAAGCCCACCAATACTACAAAAACTCCTTTTTACCCTTTGCTTTCCTTGATAACTATCTGCCTCAGAGCCAGTCCACAATAGGATAGCATGGGAGAAAAGATAGGACTATAAGGGAGAAAAGGAGATGTCCACTTTTAAAAACAGGGCGTGAAGGGCAGGCATGGTGGAGCGCGCCTAAGGCCCAGTACTTAGGAAGCTGAGGTAGGAGGATCACTTGAGCATAGGAGTTTGACACTAGATGGGGCAATATAATGAGACCGCAACTCAAAGAAAAAAGAAAAAGGGGGAGAAGTGTATGTGTAAGTTCCTAAAGCAAGGAAGATGAACACAAAATATTATCTTTTTTAGTCCCAATAAATTTTTCCACATTTTAGTGTCACCTACTAGAAAAAACAAAATCTCTAAGTGTTTAGGAAAAGAAGAAATCTATTTCAGAATAAATGTGCAAAGAGAGGAAATCTGGTCAGGAATAATGAGTGACCACATTGGGAAAGATAATTCTAAAGGTGCCCAAAATAAAAGGAGTGTCGACATTCAGTGTCACATCTGAAGTTGGAAAAACTTAGAGCAGAGAAAAAAAAAATTTTTTTTTTTAAGTGGAGTGTGGACTTGGGCCTCTGAAAAATATGTTCCCTAGCCCTTGTCTTTAGTCTTTGGGATTCCTATTTCCAAATACCTTCAACTACTTCAAACCTCCCTGGCTACAAGAATCTCTCTCTGGCAATTGGGCATGTTCTTCCACTTTAATACAGGAATGAGAAGCCCCCATTTCAACCACAATAAGAACAGCTGTGTTTCTGGCACCCTAAGTTCAGAATTCACTGTCCCACAGAATATTTTTACCTGTACAATAATTGCTCAGGTACCCTTATGTCTTTCCAACTACTCTAAAGCTCTAGCCACTAAAAATTAAAACATTATTTAATGAGGAAATGCTGTCAGGTATATTTCTTTTTGCTTTAGTATATATACCTTTCTAATATAAACTATGAAAAAGCAATTCTGATGCTGTCATGTTTAACACAGCAACTTGTTTGAAACAAGAATTTTATAATGTTATTCAATAGTTTTGAGTCAGCACACATAAAATTCCTATGGCATTTTGAAATATTTTCAGGAAATATAGATATGCTGGTTTTTAAAAAAGGAAGGTGATCTATACAAGAATATATCAAATAATGTCAATTATTATAGACCACTCATACCAGTAATATTCTTTTCTATAAGTAATTTTAAAACCAGAGATCTTAATCCTTTAAAAACCTTATATTCTCTATAAAATCTTCCCCTATGTTTTGCATATTCTTACCTGCTAGCAAGATTTTATTTTACTTGCAGTAGACTGCACTGTAGAAGTAAGCTACTACTGAATATGCTTTTTCAACAGAATGGACCAAATTCCCCCCCCCCTGGAAGATACTGATATGCCTCCCTCCTACCATTCCCAAAAGAAGGCTTACTCTTCCTTCTCCAACCCTCAGGAATTTCTACTTTACTCTGACCAAAAGAGATTTAGGACATCAAAAGTTTTAAATGGTATTCTAGATACCAATCCCACAATTCTTAAACAACGCCATAATTCCTTATACTTACTAACTGTCTCCCTCATAGGGTTACATAAAACAAATCAACTTACATGGTCTTGTAATCATTTAATGCCTCCAGAACATGCTCATATCTTTCAGATTTTGGTGTGTCTGCCAGCTGTGAAGTATCAAGAAACAATTTAACGCACTACAATTTCATCAGTTAGTAATATACAGGTACTAGATAGAGGCAATATGAAGAAGAGGAAAAGTACATTGACTAGTAGTCTGAAGACCTAAATTCTAATTCCAGGTGCTCACTGACTATGTGATCTACTCAGGGTCATTTAGTCTCTCCAGGCTTATTTTCTCAACTACAAAAAGTAGAGTTTAATTATTAGTTCATTATATGGATAAAATGATGTCTGTGAAAGAACTGAAAACTATGAACACTAATAAAAATGGGACCTTGGTATTAGTTATCACTCAATTTTTAAAATTCTATAACCTGGGGGGGAAATACATTAGAATTATTTTAATATATAACATAATATAAAGGGGTCTAAAAAGTAATGAGAAACACTTCATTTCCCAATACCTCCAATATGATCATAAGTAGAAAAAAATGTGAAATGGGGGGCAGTGTTTCATAACAATTATAGACTTTAAATGGCCCTAAATGCTTAGCAATTTTTCATCATAAACCATTTTAACTAAATATCCAATTCTATAAAATATTCTATATTGTTCCAATAACAATTTTCCCCAGAGACTTTTCCACCTCTTCTTCAAAGTTTAAAGACTGGGACCTATTAACAAAAAAATGTTAAGTTATAAACAAAGTATCACAGTTGGCATTTAAACTATAGCCAACTTTACCAGCTGACTATCAAACCTTAGAATTGTTTTAAATGAAAGAGCAAATAAATCTGCCTAAAATAATACTGGAGACTTAAAAACTATCTATTCCAACTCTTTAACAGATGAGTTAATAAATATAAAGGTTAAAAGAACTGTTCAAATTCCCTTGGCTAGTTAGGGAGAGAGCTAAAGCCTCAACCCAAATGACTTTCAAGTCCATTCTTCCAACACTGACTGAAATCCCACTATGTGCCACTCTGATTGATGCTAAAAACAAAAAAATACATGAACAAGCTCAGATCATCATACCATCTCCTCCTACTGTAATTTATGAGATGTCCAATAATAGAAAATTTCTTCTGTTTTCAGTGCTGAAAATTGAATCCAGGCCCACACACATACTAAGCATGTGCTCTACCACTAAGCTATACCCCCAGCCCAAGAATTTCTATTTACAGAAGAATGAAAAAAATCATACTTTATAAAGCTTAAACTCTAGATCTAATTCAGCCTCCCACCAAAAGTGCAATCTCTTTTTATAAGAGAGCTAGTCATTCAATCTTAGCTTTATTATTACCATTGATAAAAGCTGATACACAGGGTTAGGGGTCCAGTTCAATGGTAGAGCACTTGCAGGTGCAAGGCTCAAGTTTAATCCCCAGTACCACAAAAGAGAGGGAGGAAAGGAAGAAAGACAGGAGAGAAAATTACAGGGGTAGGGGGTGAGGAAGGCAGGCAGGTAGGCAGAGAAAGGCTGATACACCTACTAATGAAGTCTATTCCATATGTAAGCAAAATCTCCCTTGAAGTTTTCTATTCCCTCTTTAGCAAGACAGCCGTTCAAATATTTGAAATCAGTTATCATGCCTAAGTATTGGATTAGGGTAAAGTTTTTATCTTCTTCCTGTTCCCCACTCACCACCACAAATCTAAGATCAAATTGGAACTACTATCAAGTATCCTCTGTACTGTTTGTGTTTATGCCTAAAAACAGTACTTTATAACTGTTAATTTTTGTTTTTAACTCTAATTATTCCAGAGGATCTTTTCTCTGGATTCTGACACCTTTCTTGAATTGAGGGTACAAACAGAGAATCCCTATGGCCTTCCATTACAGTCTTCCTCAAGAATATCTAAGTCATTGATTTTGTTACTGTTTTTCAACAAGTTGCCCATTAATTTCCACTTTAATTAGTTCACATTTCAAAATCTTATCTAAGATCACGTTATACTACGTCTATGCCATGCCCACAGAATTTGACAAATATTCCTAATCATATCAACAAAGAAACTAGGGTATTTAACACACTTTATTCTAATAGGGGTTTTTTTATTGCTTTTTTTAAATCTTCACAAGTCATATATCTGATATATGCAATTTTGTTAAGAATCAACAACAAAACTGAGTTTCTAGTTGTTGAAAACCTCTTATTTTTTGAAAATCACAAGAACTCCCTTTTCTTTTGGTACTTATTTCCTATGGTTTCTCAAAAGTTTTATAGAACTAAATAATTATTTTGCATAGGACTATATATTTTACTCACATAAGGACCAGATGTTCCCTTTGTGTGCTTTGCAAACTAAAAATGTAACTTAATAGTATAAATCGTATCAAATGTAGTTGAAAAGTATCATATTCATATGATCAAAGTTGGTAACATATCTCCAAAACAGAAATCTTCTTGCTCCAACCTTTCTACACTTACCTCATACTATACTTTTATTTTCAGTTTTATACATTTCTATACAAACTTACATGCTATTACTAACTCTTCATTTCAATAAAATACAACCCTCCATTACTAATGCTGAATTCTATACCACCTAGGCTTATACATGCCAACAGTTTATTTTCCAACTTATATACTAATAAATAACATTCTGTGTCCCAAGTATTGCTATTAATCAGATTTCTTGTTATTTTTCACTTTAAAATATTTTACTACCTTAATTATACTAAACATTTCTCTCGCAAAATATTTCTACCATGGTATTTCACTGAGTTTCATTTATGCTTTTCTCCCTACCTCCCTCAAAAGTTTAAGACAGCATATGTATTTTTCTACTATCAACCTTAGGGTTTTTAAATTTAAGACCACAGTTAATGTAAAGTATGTTATTAAAGAATCAAAGATTGGGGCCAGGGTTATGGCTCAGTGGTAGATTACTTGCATAGAAGACATGAGGCACTGGGTTCGATCCCCAGCACCACATAAAAATTAAAAAAATAAATAAATAAATAAAAATTTTTAAAGGGCTGGAGGTGGGCTCGGGTGGTGGCTCAGTGGTAGAGTGCTTACCTAGCATGTGTGAGGCGGCACTGGGTTCAATTTTAAGCACCACATATAATCAAGTAAATAAAATAAGGTCCTTCAACAACTAAAAACAAAATTAAAGGAAGGAGGACTGGAAGTAGGTCTCAGTGGTAGAGCACTCCTGGGTTAAATTCCCAGTATCACCAAAATAATAATAATAATAATAATAATACAATTGACAAGAGGTAAATCCAAAAAAGTACCAACATCTCTTTTTAAACTGGACTTGGTGGCACATGCCTATAATCCCAGCAGCTTGGGAGACCGAAGAAGGAGGATCCTGAATTCAAAACCAGTCTTAGCAATGGCAAGGTGTTAAGCAATTCAGTGAGATCCTGTCTCTAAGTAAAATACAAAATAGGGCTGGGAGTGTGACTCAGTGGTCAAATGCCCCTGAGTTCAATCCCAGGCACACACTTCCCATCTCCTTTTAAACTCCTCAAAGCAATCTAATACAACAGTGACACTTCATTTTAAATAAGAAATCCTTATTGTGGTCTCAAATGGTAGATTTTTACATTAAAAAGAAAACATTTCAAAATACTGTAGCTACTTACATTACTACACTCAGTCTATATGATAATCATTAAAAAACCAAATCTCAAAGATGTACAAAAACTATGTAAGGATTGGGGCTGGGGTTTTTGGCACAGCAGTGGAGCGCTTGCCTCACACATGTGAAGCACTGGGTTCGATCCTCGGCACCACATAAAAATAAATTTAAAAAATAAAGATATTTTTAAAAAAACTACATAAGGAAATATGATATTAAAATATCACTATCTTCTAACATGGTTTTAAAAGTTTTTTGCTTCCCTTCACAGCAACCCTATAAAACTAACAACAGAAAAGATATGATACATGAGAGTCAAATACGCCTTTCAATATGAAAGGATTACCTACAAACAAGTTTAACTTCGAAACTTTTTTTTTTTTTAAATTAAAAGAAGTCACAGCTTTGAGTGATAATAATGTGTCAATGCAGGTTCATCAATTTCAACTAATGTACTACTTTGGTGGGGGATACTGGCAATGAAGGAGGCAATGTTATATGTAGGAGAAGTGGAGGAGTGTACCCTCCTCTCAATTTTGCTGTGAACCTAAATCTCCTCTAAAAATAGCCTTTAATATAAAAGAGGGGCTGGGGATGTTGTTCAGTGGTAGAGTGCTTATTTAGCATGTACAAGGCCTTCCATTCAATGCCCAGTATCACAAAAAATAAATAGACAAGAATACAGTATTTCCTTCATGACAATGACAATCCAAAAAAATAAATAAATAAATAAAAGAAGAAGAAAGCACAATACACTAAACAGAATACAACCAATTCAATATAAAATTACAGCAAGTAATTACAGAGGTATGTTATATAAATAACAAATACCATTATAGTTCATCTAGTGTCATTATATATTAAATTAGGTTTGAATTCAAAGCTCAGCAATGGTAAATATGGATTCGGTTCCTCTCTGTGATTAGGGACAAAATGTACATTCCTAGCCAAAATGTCACAAAAGTAATTTTTTTTTAATAAACTTTACCATATGAATGTCAATAAGCTTGATTCTTTTTTTTTTTTTTTTAGCATTTTTTAAAACTGTTGATGGACCTTTATTTTATTTATTCATATGAGATGCTGAGAATTGAACCCAGTGCCTCACACATGCTAGGCAAGTGCTCTTATCGCTGAGCCACAACCCCAGCCCATAATCTAACTTTTTAACATTATCACAAGATGTCTTTCTTTCATCTAAGCAAAGGGAGGAAACTCCACATTTAAGAGAGAATAGAAATCATAACACTTCTGCTGTATTTTATCTCATTTTTGAAGAGAAACTTCTAAAGCAATATAATCTATACTATGTATAATAAAAATTGATGTTCAAAATGACTCTTGAAAACTCCAAGGTACTAAATTACAAAATATTACATTTAGTATATACTATTTCCTATGTCTTGAAAATAGTTCATGGAATTTTATGGAAAAAATTTTGATAAACCTTAAGTTAGATCAGTAACAAAATTCAATTTGCAATTCAATTCCAATGAAACAAGGTCTTCTTATTCAAATAAGTCCATCTTTGTTTCATATTTAAAAGTAAACTAAATGAAACACTGAAAAACATAGATAAGCAAAAAATTTATAATTTCATTACTAAAATATCACCCTAAAATCTAGTTGTAATTACAATAAAAAAATGTAAAAGACTGAGAATTAAAAACCTGAATGTCAATTATCAATAATTAGTCTGTTGATGAGACAACTCAACTAAAAAGTATTTTCTTATTTTAACTCCAAGAAAGCAGTGAGGAATGATTAAAGTCCTTAAGTGGCAACCATTCTTTGAAAAGTTAAATCTGGGACTGGAGTTGTGGCTCAGCAGTAAAGCACTAGCCTGTAGAAGGCGAGGCCTTAGCCTTGATCTTTGGAACCACATAAAAATTAATTAATTAATTAATTAAAGATATTGTATCCAACTACAATTTTTATATATATATATATATATATATATATATATTTTTTTTTTTTTAAGTTAAATTTACTTTTTTCTCCTTTATTTTTCTTTTTTTCCCTGACAACACTGGGGCTTGAATCTTCAATCTCATGCTAAGGAAAGTGTTCTATCACTGGGCTACATCCCCAGCCCTTCTTTTTCTAAGACACTACTATATAGGCTATAGATAATAAAAACATTTACTTGCTAAAGTAAAATTTTACTGTGGATCAGAAAATTTAATTGAAGATGGCACACCAGGTATACAGATGTATCTGTATATGAAGCACTGAAAGTATCATGCCTAGAAAGGAAGAATTTTAAAATGAATGCATTGGAGCACTAAATATTAAGATGACTATAAAGAACACTATAGTTACTATTAGTGCCTTACTTTTTTTTTCTCTCATTAAACTAGTCAGTTTATTGAAATTCAAATTTATAAATCACAACATTCAAACTTCATTAAAAATTATCTAACACTTGAAACCGTTCTATCATTCTATCAATAGAATTTCAGTAATCCTATATTTTAATACTTAAGTACTGTTATTTGTTTTATTTTATGTAGCTAATATACCAACTAAATAAATGTAAATTATGCTCTAATGGCCCCCAAAACCTCAAAAACCCCAAATACCATGTATATGAGTTTTATAAACTTTCACTTACCTAAAACTAATAGAAGAAATTCTCCCTAAATTCCAAATCAACTTACAATTTTTATCTCAAAGTATGCATAATTAAAATGTACATCTGATTCTATATATTATGAAACAAATTTTTTAGTTTTCAACCAAGAGTAGTTAATAATATGTATTTTAATAAATCTAAATAAATGCTAAAAATAAGGTAAATTTTTCTAATTTCTTCCCTCTTTGTGCTAGTCTATAGTTCCAAAATCTTTTTCAATGAACATGCACTACTTTATATTCCTTTGTTTGTTTTTTTTAGAAAAATTCTTTGTAAAGCCAGTGTAAATAATTATGCTTCACAAATGAGAAGCAAAACAAGATTTTCAGAATGAGGAGGGACAATCTCCAACTCAGGCAGCTTCACTCTATAACTCATCATTCTAATCCTGTTATCTGATCTCACCATTCCTGGAAGTCAGAAATATATGAGTACCAACAAGAAAGGAAAGAAGAAAGCTGCTTACATCTCTTAGAAGAAAAGGAGGTGAAACCATGAGTGAGACACCCAATACAAAGAATTTCTCCCACCCTTCTATCTTTATAATGATTCTCACTTTAGAATACAGAAGAATCAAATAATTTACTTCCTCCATCTATAATTTTCCAGAGTCAACAGGCAATAAATAAACATAGAAGGATGAGAAAGCTGGTCCTGATATCCCTATCAAATTTATTCCTCCCCAGAACTAAAAATAAAAATTCTACTTTGGTCGTATGACTTGTTTCTTAGATTGTTGTTGTTGTTGTTGTTTTAAACAATAACAAAACAAAACAGAAAAAACATCAAGTAGCTAATGAAGTTAGCTCTAAGGTCACCTACCTCTCCAGGGTGCAATCTATCCCAGTTTTCATTAATGTATGTCATAAGCTCAAGTTCAGAATCAAAGTATTTCTTCTTGTGAATAACACTTAGGTTGTAAAGGCATAGGTGTGCTATATCTACCCTGGAATCAAAAAATAATCAAAATATACAAAAACAAGGTTTTTGGTTATTAAAAAATTAGTTTCTTTACAAAATCAGTAATTAATCCAAAGTAAATTATTCAGATGGATAGAGGGTCAATGTCCTAAGTCATATTCATAATACAATAAATCATTACATATGAAAAAGCTGGAAAACATTAGCAAAATATTAACTTATTATGAATAGTAATTATAAACTAAAAGATACCTGAATTACTTCTTAAAATGCATTCAAAGAGGATCTGAATTTAGGAGAAAATAATTTACAATCAAGATTTTTGTATTTTTAATACTACATAGAAACTATAGAACAGACCATACTTTATCAGGCTTTACTTTATCTAATTCATGAGTTAAATTCTATCTGTTCCTAAATTATGTAAAAGATAATAAAAATACTTATAAATACTTATTTTAAGTATTTTATTACTAAATCTATAAAACTAATCACACCACACATTCTGTATAGAATTACTGTAGAGAAACTCATGTTTGTTTAACCTACGTATCTTCTACTATATGCTATTCTAAAGGCACAAATGAACTGGAACTATGAATAAGATTTAAAATACGTTTGAAAACTACATTTATGCCATTCTACAACAAACAGCCTTATTAATTTAGCAATAAAAGTGGATAATAATTAGTGAAGATGGCTTAAAGATAAATAAAAGAAATAAAGCCAGGTATAAGGAACAAAGTTTTATTTAAGCAAGTACACAGACACAGAACTTTCATCTTGGAGATCTAATAATATAGCTCCTTTTTTCTTAACAGAAATATCCATTCTTACCACTGTAATGGTAGACGTTTGAGGTATTCTGGTCCAGAACTGCAGACAGAGCAAATAAATGTATAAAACCTAAGGAAAAAAATTTTATTATGTCATCAAGGATATAAATACAGGCAAATAGTCAGCAAATGAAGATCCTACAGTGAATGTAAGGACTCACACCCAAAACAAAAGGTAATTTCAATAATGAGGCTAAGATTTAAGGAATTTCTTTTCAAATAACAAAGTAGTTAGGGAGAAGGACTCTAACTATTAGAGTCCTTTGACATTCCCAAAGATTCATATGTACCATAATTTACTAATGCTTGTGTGTGTTAGGAACTTGGTGGCTGCCCCTATATACATTGTACCATCCAATGCTCAAAATAACCTAGTAAGATATGCCCAAAGGAGACATGCTGACCTTCTTAAAGTCAAAAAGATGGTAATAGCTGCATAAGCCAAGGTTGAAACCCAAATTTAGTGCTCTATCTTTAATTTTACCTCCTAGAACTCACTCTGTTCTTCCACATAATACTCAATATAGAAAGTATCTGCTTTTAGAAATTCTTTAAGGTATAAATTGTGTCTGTGATATGATTGATGTATGTACATTCCATGTATGTATTATATGTCAAAATACATTCTGCTATCATGTATGACTAAAAAAATAAATTGTATGGTCAAAAAAAAAACATAGAAAAAAATAAAATGAATAAAAAATAAAAAATTGTGTCTGTGGCCTTCTCCAATTCTCTGTCATATGATCCTTTCTAAGTATTTTAAAGGAAGGTACCAATGATAATAGGTTAGGGTACTATGGAGGCAACAGAAGTAAATGCAATCACTGACACTACTTAAAAGTTTTCTGGAATAATATCCAAAAGCACAAAAATCATGTGTATTTAAAGCATATTATTCAGTATTTTCCCTGAAGTGACCTCTTTACAAATCACTGTCAAAATGTTTTTTAGAAATTACAAACTGTAAAATAAATACAATGAAGAAGTCACAAAAATAAAATTAATTAGTAAGATTGAAATGTTCTTCTTACCTATCTCCAAATAGCATTGGCTTTTGAAGGCATTGCACACAAGCCTCATGAAACCACTGCTTACATTTGCAGCACTGTAGCATCTTTAAATACCAGCTATTAAAATAAAAAAAAAGTTAAGACTAAAATTACTACTTTTTGATGAGGGAAAAACTTCATTGTTTATTAAAACAACAAAGTAGCATAATATGCAAACTACAATTATGATTAAAGCATTGTTTTTCTTTTTCTTTTTTTTTTTTTTTTTTCTTTTTTTGATGGTGCTGGGGATTGAACCCAGGCCTTTGTGCATGTGAGGGAAGCACTCTACCAACTGAGCTATATCCCCAGCCCAGCATTACGTTTTTCTTTTTTTTTAAATATGTATTTTTTAGTTGTAGTTGGACACAATACCTTTATGTTATTTATTTATTTATTTTTGTGGTTCTGAGGATCAAACCCAGGGCCTCACATGTGCTAGGCGAGCGCTCCACCACTGAGCCATAATCCCAACCCCTAGCATTACGTTTTTCTAAAGTGCAATTTTTTTTTCTTTCCCAAAAAGGTTTGTAATGTTGAACACACTTCATACCTCTTCTCTTGAAAAACAGATCTACTTCTAGTCAACAATGCCCAGCTTCTACACTAGTATAGGATTTCTCTCAAAGCACAGGCACGTGATCCATCCTTCTTTCCTTCGTAGTGCTGAAGATAGAACCCACAGCCATGCATGTGCTAAGAATGTGCTATACCACTGAGCAACATCCCCCACCCTCTCCACCCCAATCCCCAGGCTGGCCCAAATGCCTGGCCAGAAGCCTAAAACTTTTTTCACATCAATTCTCTATACCTTAGGAGAGGTCATATTAAGAGGTACTATTGTTTGCCCAAAATATCAAATGGCCATAGGCAGTATGAACATTCCATTTTATATCTTTACTGTGTTTCTATTATAATGAAAAGAATTTATTAGCAATTTAAGTAATTTAAATAAAACAAAGACATCTAACCTAAGACTATATCAAAGTATAAAAGTTTTGTCACAGGTTTAGTACTGATTCAGAATACAGACCTACAGATCTATTTCAAATAGCCGAAGATACTACAACTGAATCTTCATCTAAGAAGGATATATTCTCTTTTTAATTAGTATATGGTTTTACACCATGAAACCCTTTATGAAAATAAGATATTACTTCCAAATAACATCTTTTCTTCCAACAAATGAGTCCCACACTAATTGTAAGCCATACATAGGCAAAGGTTAAGAAGCCTGTAAAGTGAGCCAATTATCAAATGACTTATGAATACTAACTACAATCCATGCATTCTACTAGATGGTGAAACTAACATAGTTACTAATATCAGGCACATTTCCTATTCTTTTAATGTTTAAAGATAATGAACAATCTACCTCATAAAATAGGTAAACAAAATGCTAGAATTAAATGAGTAAAGGAAAAAAGATAAACCTGTTCACTGTTTCTCTTTTATATGTAACTGGTTTTTTAAAACTAGACAAACGCTTTTTAAACTTGCAGATGACCAAAAGCTGAGAAATCTTACAGAAGTGTTAAATCACAAAGTTAATATTCCACAAGATCAGAGATGAATTAGAATAAAGAACTAAAAATTCATTCATTTATATATTCATTTTCATCACTGAACACCTCATGGTGGCAGTGCATGCCTGTCATCCCAGCAACTTGGGATGCTGAGACAGAAGGATCACAAGTTCAGCACCAGCCTCAGCAACTCAGCAAGGCTCTCAGCAACTTAGTGAGACCTGTCTCAAAATAAAAAATAAAAATTGGCTGGGGATGTGGCTCACTGCTAAAGTGCCCCTGGGTTCAATACCCAATAGCGCCCGCGCCCCAAAAGCTGCTAAAATTATTAGTTGACCACCTACATGAACCTAGAGAATATCTACTGAATGTCTAAAAGAGGTAATAAAATTTCTTGTATGATGCAACAAGAGAAGCATCATGCCTGAGATTCTAAATAGCCCGTTAAATCATTATATTCTACCAGACTACTTCTGGAAACACTACCTTTTTCCCAATCATGGCACAGTATTTTAAGAATAACTTTCAAACACTGGAGAGAAACAGAGTTTGGAAATTATATCATAAAGACTGTTTGCTGGCAGTGGAGTTTTAGTCTGGAGAAGATAACATTATTGCTACATAGGTCATAGAAGTAGGAAATAAAATTTCTGGCATAAAATACACTTTTTTAAACCGGGGGTACTGGAGATTGAACCCAGGGGTACTCTACAACTGTACTAAATTCCCAGACCTTCATTCTTTGAGACAAAGTCTGAAATGCCAAGGCTGGTCTGGAACTTTCAATCTTCCACCTTAGGCTCCTCAGTTCAGTGGATTATAGATATATGCCATTGACTTGCAACATTTTTAAGACCTACCCCATATAACAGATAAAATGTTTAGTTTGAAAGGCAGAACTGAGGACCATGGACCAGAAATTAAAGGCAAATTTTCTAGAAAGTAGAATGTTGGTTTGTAGATGTAATTACCACCACCACCACCACCCGCGCCCCCAGTACTGGGGATGGAACCCAGAGGCACTTTATCACTGAGCTGTACTCCCAGCCCTTGCCAAAGCTGGCCTTGAATTTGTGACGCTCTTGCCTCAGTCTTCCAAATAGCTAGGATTACAGGTGTGCACTACCATACCAGGCTGATATAGCAAAATTTAATAATAAAGATGAATAAAATTATAGCCTCTAATTATGGATATATATAATTAACTACAATGGTCAACTTCAAGTGATTTCTTCTTTATAATCTAGTTAATAATCAATGATAAGGTGGCTGTCAAAGCACCTGGGGGTCAGAAACAAATACAGCCTCTCTAGTACCTGGATGGCATATTTTTTCAGTTAAAACTTAGAAAAACTACATGGTATTTTCCTCTGGCAAATGATATCCTGTATTCATAAGAAATGGAATATTTAGGAAAGAATAGTAAGGTATGCCCTCTAATCAATCTATGAAAAAGTCTCATCTTTGTTTTGTAGTTTAAACCAACATCTGTCTCTTATGCTCTCAAATAACAGTATCAAATATAACAATTTCTAAATGGTCAATCATATTAAATGTGAAATCCAATAAAACTAAAAATTTTCAGACCTGACAGTGGACCCCTACAGTATATATTTTTTCCCCTCTACAGTTTATTTTTATAAGATACATAAATATATATAACTCATTTTAAAATGCCAGAATAGGGGCTGGGATTGTGGCTCAGCGGTAGAGCGCTTGCCTAGCACAGGCAGGACCCAGGTTCGATCCTCAGCACCACATAAAAATAAAGGAATTGTGTTGTGTGCATCTACACCTAAAAAATAAATATTTTTTTTTAAAATGCCAGAATAGCCTTATAGTAAGATTTTTTAAAATACATGAATATGACTGAAACCTAGATGAGAATTTTTTGGTGAAATAATGGTGAATTTTCTTCCCCTAGCTGTCTTTAGTGATACTTTCAAGCATCTGCAATTCACTACTAATCTTACCAATCAGTAAGAAAAATAAGACAATGTAAGCAAATGAAAATTACTTAAAGGACATTAAGTAACTGTATTTACTTACTCTCCAGGACCTCCACAATAGCAGTAACACTGCTGCACATTGGTTTTATGACCTGCATCCCATTCAAGGTCTGCCACACTATAGGGTAATGTCTGCTTCATGACTTGCAATGCTTTGGCATTTGGTCCTTTTTTAAGTGCACCACCCCTCTACATATTAGAGGGAAAAAAAATCATTTGAAAGAGTAAAGGTTAAAATTTTAAACACAGTTCTATAATTTTAAAATGCCTGAGACTGCTAAAAAAAAAAAAAAATTCCGTTCTAAATTTCTAATATCACAAACTGATTTATAATCTCCATTTTCTGTCTTCTTTCAAATTACTGCCCCAATTCCCATTCCACTGTCATGAAATGAAGAATAACTTCAAGTCACTTAAGCATAATTAATCAAACAATAAACGTCGATTTTTCTGGCAAACAACAATTGTTCATACCATTCAAATAAACTTTTGATGTAAATAATTATTATATTGATAGCACTTTAAAAATACCAGTTAGGGCTTTAGCCCAAGACACTTAAAAGATACCTTTGTTGTTGTTGCAAAAACACATTGTCGACAGAGCCATTTTTCATCTGAATCAATCACACTGGAATCAATATGAGGTGTATGACACAACTGATGGTACCCTTAATATCAAAAAGAGCATAAAGCAAATTCTATTTTATTAATAAATAATGCAAAACACATTTTCAAGAAGGCATTTTAGTACCGTTTCCTGCATTAAAATATTTACAATTGATGAATATAACTTAGGATAATAGCTTCAAATTACAAATGTATTTTTTAGTCATTCATCTTCAACACAGGTATTCAGTATATAACTAAATATTTCCACAAGACTAAAAGAAATCAATGTTTACCTTGGCCACATTTATCACATATAACCATTTCATTAGGAGCTTCTGAATACTCTTCTTGACATATTGTACAGACCATTTCCCCACTTCCAGTGGCTCCTGAAATATTTAAAACATACATAAAAAGCAGGGGGTCACAAAAGAATTCCACATAAAACTATTTTTATGACTCAGTAGGTAGCCCACATGGGCAGTATTTGATAATTAGATCAAAATGTTTCACAAGACAAAATGCTATCTCTCAAAATGATATTTCTAGTGTCTCTGTGTTCTTTCCACCTTTAACTTAAGATACCTGTGTACATTCACACTTCAGTCTGCTTTTTGGCAGAGGGCACAATTTACATTGTTCTCAGGCAGCATCTCAATTATTCATTTCTGATATTCCTACTTCTGGGGGTAGGGTTAGGGGGTTGAGGGAGGTTTAAGGGCACGCATTCATTCATCCTACATCACTAATATCATGAGACTAAAGGAAAAGGGCAAGGAAAATATGTAAATAATCTCCTTTCTCTATGGATTCAGAATATTTCTTTTGATTTACTAATTTATAAAAAAGACTGGACACCAATTATTTCATCTCTGAAATCTGGAACTATGCTGAACAATAATGTACCCTAACAATAAAGTACCCAATAATGTACACCACTGTAAAAAATGCTGGAGTTCTACTTATCATTCTCGTGTTCGTGTGTGTGTGTGTGTGTGTGTGTGTTCTTATTTATTTTCTGGTACTGGGGATTAAAACTGGGGGCACTTTATCACTGGGCTACCATCCCCAGCCTTTTTAATTTTGAAACAGGCTCTCCCTAAGCTGCTTAGGCCCTCATTAAATTGCCAAGGCTGAAATTGCTATCCTCCTGCTTCAGCCTACTGAATCCCTAGGATTACAGATGTGGACCAATTCACTCAGCTATCAACTACACTTCTCATCTAAATAAAAAATCATTTTTTCCTTGAGCATTTTTATTCTTAAACAAAAAAGACAAATCAAAAAATTTAGAATATAATTTTATCACACCAGCACGTGCTAATTACCATTTCTAATATTCTCTTCATGCCTATTTTAATACAATCAAAATAATAACACACAGTTTACTTGCATACAACAATAATATTCATCATTTTGTGCTATGGGTCAAGTATTGTTAGACTATTCACGTTTTATTTAATTCTAAAGCTAACTTATTAGATAAATATCCTACTCCTAGAGAAAAAGTGAAGATCAGACATATACAATAACCAAAAGACCCTCAATTATAAAGTATCAAGACTAGGATCCAAATTCATAAGACAGAATTCCTATTCTCCCCACCACAAGGTACTTCCTTTCACTAATACTATGTAATAGTTCTTCTATCAAAAGCATTTTCACACAGCCAGTTTTCAAAATTATGACTTTTAATAACTGCATTATATTGCATCTAGTGGAAAGAACCAAATTTACTTCATTACACTTCTACTGTTGGCCACATAGGTTAGTAATTATTGTTTTGTCTGGTTTTTGTATTTTTGCTTACTTGTTTGTCTGTTTTGGTCTCCTGTCGTCTCTCCTCAACTCTGTTTACTTGGTATGCTTGGTAGGACCTGGCCTCCCATAGCTCCTGGGTTTATGGCTCCAGTCAGGAAAGTAATCAGACAGCCTGGGACCTCTCAGCCCAAATCTGCAACTCCCTGGAAAGGGAATGATAGCCCCTGCCTGGAGTAGGTGCCTGAGTTGATTCCCACTATAAGAGTGAGAGGGAAGGCAGGTCTTCAGTAAAAGGGGTGCTGATCCGATAAACGATATACATTTACCTCAGAAAACATTCCTGAGGAACCTGGGAGTACTTTACTTGTGAAGTTCAAGTACATGTTGTTTTGTTGTTGTTGTTGTTGTTTTTACCATCAAGTGTACAAGAATCTTCCCATAGAGCTTAGTGGTCCTCTACTAGAAAAATCTAACTGATTACTGTAGTCTTGGTCTTTGCATTTTAGAAATACAAGATTTTTTTTTGTTTGTTTAAAATATGCTACAGTGAACATTTTTCCTCTAGCTTTTTTCTTTTAAATTATTTCTTATGAAAAAACTTCTAGCAGTTCTAGAAGAGAGTCTTGTTGGACAGATCAGAGTACAAAATTTTTATGCATTTAATGCAACTGTTAAATAACTGAAACAGAAATTTATACTGTCACCAGCATTGCAGGAGTATATCATTTCAAAGAAACAAAAAATAGCATAGGTGTTTAAATACCTTTTTGAAATTATGTAACAGTCTTAACATCACACATATCTCCCTCTTATGGCACACATTTCTTTACTAACAGGATCACATTTTTCCTTATTTATGTAAACTTTTTTTTTTAATATTTATTTTTTAGGTGTAGATGGACACAACACAATGCCCTTAGTTTTATGTGGTGCTGAGAATCGAACCCGGCTCCTGCCCGTGTTAGGTGAGTGCTCTACCGCTGAGCCACAATCACAGCCCCTGTGTAAACTTTTAAGAAGTATATTTCTAGGGCTGGGGTTGTAGCTCAGTGGTAGAGTGCTTGCCTCGCACATGTGAGGCACTGGGTTTAATCTTGGCACTGCATAAAAATAAATATAATGTGTCCATCTACAACTAAAAAAAAAATTGAAAATAAAAAGTATATTGCTATGGGCTGGGGTTATAGCTCAGTGGTAGAGCATTTGCCTCACATGCGTGAGGCCCTGGGTTCGGTCCCAAGTACCACATAAAAATAAACAAATGAAACAAAAGATATTTTAAAAAAAAAAGAAAAGAAAAAAAGAAAGACTGAATCTTCTTTTTAAAAAAAAAAAGTATATTGCTAGATAAAATTAATGTATTGTTATATGTGTAAAATACATATATACACATTATATACATATATTATTTTAGAGATATACACACAAACATAAATAAATAACTTATAGGATTCTTACAAGAAAGAAAACTACTAAAACTATTTCCTGCTGAGCTGTCATATGATTTTCAAGTTCACTTTGTATTTGCATTCTATAGTAATAAGTTTCTAGGTGCAACAAAGAGTTATATGGTCAAGGAGCAATCCTTTGTAATTCTAGGGGGTAGTATAAGGAGCCAGTGAAGAAAAATCAACCACAGATCACTAATCTGATATACAAGGTGGGACTCGTATTAGACAGGATCCTTCAATTTTCACAACTTTCTTCCTCTATGTAACTGGTTTACTTTTTCTTTCTGCTACTTTTTAAAGGAAAGGAGAAAAGGAGGGAACAAAAAGACAGACTTATCATAAACCTGCAAAAACCTCCAAAAGACCAAAAAGTTGAAAGGGATACATAGCAAAAGGAAGAGGAACAGGAAGCAATATAACATGCTCCAGTCCCACTATGGAGAAACCCATCTTTATTTACAAAGTAAGGAAAAAGGAATAATTCTGTTTGTAGGGTACTTTTTAAACTCTCCTCAAATGTGATACTGAATTATCATAAAACAATACATTCAAAAGAAAATGTCAGGTTGAAGAAAATCATATTTCAGTATAAAACATGTTCAAGAGAAATAGTAGCACCTGCCTGTTTGAATGTCCTTCCAGAGAACCCAGGATTTAGAACTGTCTTCAAATATGATGAAGCAGCTCTGTTTCAAAATGTTTATCTGCAATACAGAAGAATATTTATTTCTTAAATTATCAACATGAAATTTAAGATTATTAAAAGTTCACTGCAAAAACAGAAAAAATGCCTTCTATCAAGATAACTTGCCTTTTTGATAGTTCCAAGATAAAACAAGCCATCTGACCATCTAGCTAGGACATCCTGACCCTCTTCAAATTTACATGCTGGCTTTTTGGCTTTATGTCCATCCTGTAAAGACAGCTTGGTCAAGGATGTTGGGGTCTTTTGGTTTCGACGTAAAGGAGACCGCTTGTGGACCAGTGAATTACCTGCCCCTGTAGAGTCTCTGTTTAGGAAATAAAAAAACAAAGATAAAACTTACTTATACACAGTTTATACCAATGATATGTCAATCAAAAATTGATTTGTTAAAAAAAATTAAATTGAAGGAAATACAAGAACCTCAAATCACAAATACTCTCCCAGTAAGTTTAAAACAAAGCAATAGCAATTCTCAATATTCATTCATTGTATACCCTAAAGTGAGGCCCAAATTCAGCAACCACTCTAATATAAACATATTTGGGCAGGTGTCATTAAAATATCAGCTTTAGGGGCGGGCGGGCAGGCAGGCAGGCAGGCAGGCAGGCAGGCAGGCAGGCAGACCAGTCATGAGGAAAAAAAGCCTTGAATCTCATGACTGAGTTTAGATAAAGAATAAAAGTGACTTAAACCTTAACTCCTAATTATTCCACAGTCAGTAAAGACACATTAACTCTGGGCAGGTAGATGGGTATAGTCACACTCACTGGAAGGGCAATAATATTTTTTCTACAGGAAATCACTACTGAATTTAGCCTTTTTTGATTTTCAGGGGTTTACACACAATCCTTTAAAAATGCAGACTGGGAGTCTAAAACAAACTGAGAACCATTAGTTTCACAAAATCACATTCAAATGCAAAGTATATTATTAAGAACATTTACTTCTTTTTAAGCAAGCGACCTCAAAATGATATACTACATGTAACCGTCATTCTATAAACACCACAGCATACCACCAAAATTCTTTTTGGGGGGTACCAGGGATTGAACTCAGGGATATTCAACCACTGAGCCTCATCCCAATTCTATTTTGTATTTTATTTAAAGACAAGGTCTCAATGAGTAGCTTAGCACCTCAACTTTTGCTGAGGCTGGCTTTGAACTCAGGATCACCTCCCGAGCTGCTGGGATAACAGGCATACACAAACATGCCCGGCTATCATCAATTTTCTTAAAGGTAACATAGCAGTATTTGGTTTCACAGTTCCATTTAGATATATTTCACTAATTAAACATACAATGAGGGCTGGGGTTGTGGCTCAGCGGTAGAGTGCTCGCCTAGCACGTGCAAGGCCCTGGGTTCAATCCTCAGCACCACATATTAATAAAAACCACATATAAATAAAAATAAAGGTATTGTGTCAACTACAACTAAAATATATTAAAAAAATACAATGACATGTAAAACTACATAGATGATAATCCTAAAATTGACAGAATAAAAGTTAGTAAAAATAAAACAAGTGGGGAAGGAAAAATGTTGCATTACCTAAGAATTAAGGATAACTAATTTTAGGACCAAAAATTTCACAAATTCTTAGGAATCCTGACACTGCTACAACATAAATCTTAAAGATATTATGTTATGTGAAATAAGCAAGACAAAAAGGACAACTACTCTATAATTCTAGTTACATAAGGTACAAAGAGTAGAAGAGTAGTCAAATTCATAGAAAGTAGAAGGATGGTAGGTAGGGGCTGGGAGGAGGGGAGAGTTAATGTTCAAATGGGACAGTTTTAGTTTAAAACAAAATACATTTTAAAGATAACCAAAGAAATAATAACTAATACCTTCTTAAGTTGCTTAAAAACATTAATCTATACATCCAAGAAGCTCAACAAACTTCAAGTACAATAAGGGCAAAGAAATCTACACTCAATCACACCACAGTAAAAATGCTGAAAGACAAAAAGAAAATCTTGAAAAAAGCACGTACAAGGAAATCCCAATAGGATTAATGAGACTGCTCATCAGAAACAATAAAAGAAGGCAGCTGGATGACATAAAGTGCTGAAAGAAAAACTGCCAACCAAGAATCTTATAACTAGCAACACTGTCCTTAAAAAACTGGAATAGAGGGGCTGGGGTTATGGTTCAGTGGTACAACGCTTGCCTAGCATGTATGAGGCACTGGGTTCAATTCTCAGCATCACATATAAATAAGTAAAGGTCCATCAACAACTAATAAAATATTTTAAAAAAAAAATGGAATAGATACTTCCAGATAAACAAAATCTGTACCTATTATTAGCAGTGCCACCTTACAAGAAACATTAAGGAAGTTCTTAAGGTTTAAAGTAAATAAATCAAAAAGAAATTAAAATACACCCACATATCAAACAACAACATTGGTAAAAGTAATTAAATAATTATAAAAGAATGAAAGCATATTTCCTCCAAACCAAATATACAAAATATTAAGTATATAATTCGATTGTTAGGCCTAAAACATATAGAAATATGCTACATTTGAAAAGAACAGCAAAAAGGAGGCATGTGGGGGCAAAACAATATTAAAGAAATGTCATATAAGATAGTAACTTGAACACAGAGGAATGAAGAAAATCAAAAAAGGTAAATACAAGGATAAATATAAAATGAAGTTTGTCACATCGAGAAAGTATCTGCTGTATCCGTAAGTCACTCACTGTTTAAAGTAAAAATGGTGTTCTATGAAATAGCTACTATTAAAGCTGGCAGAAATACCCTATGCATGGTTCCTGTTTCATCACACATGATATTAAAAACCTAAATTCAAAGTCCAAATTTAATAATTTTTACTGTTTCATCAAAAACGTTCTTAAGTAAAATTAAATTGTGCATATATGTCTATGTCTATTTTATATTTTTTACTGTGAGCACATATCAATGAAGAACACTAGCAAAGTCTGATGTCACTGCCTTGATTCACACTAAGGTACAGAGCAGTTTTAGCTAACTTTGTTTGTGCACCATCTGTACACATGTCAACACAGTAGGGAAGGCAAAAAAAAAAAAAATCAGTTTTGCTACGGTTCCAGTTATTGGGAGGTTGAGGTGACAGGATGGCTAGAGCCCAGTAGTTTGAAACAAACCTGAGCAACATGGTAAGAATCCATCACAAAGAGAAAAGAAAAAGAAAAATTTTAGTATTATTTGATCTTGCAGATCCTCTCAAAGTGTCCATGGATTACATTTTAAGAGCCATTGTTCTGAATAAAGAAATTATATACTGCCATATATATTGTTAAAGCCATATATGAGAAAGGGATGCTTTAGTAATATGAGGGGTTTAAATGTCTGACAGGATAAGTACTAAAAAGCAGAAGTAAAAATGGAAAATGAATCACAATTAATTCTATCATCTGGAATGCTCAAAGCCAGGCTGAAACCTTTCAACACTGAAACAATTTTATACCTTCAAATCACAGTGTGAAAATAACCATGTTAGCAAAATCAATTTTTAAAAAGCTATACATCTGGTGATTACCTGAGGGGTTTTATACCCCTTAAGTAACTAACCAAAGCCTGAACAACATATATATGGGTAAGAAATGACCTCAAGACAATGCCAAGGAGTTGAAACTATGTTATGACCTAGAATCTTCTAATTCTGAAGTGGAAAATGTATAAAACAACCAACACTGCAAACATTCCCAGACAGTTTTATATGCTCCACTATTGTTTAAATAAATTCCCCTCCCTTTTTCTTGACGGTGAGGTCTGCTTCTTCCTTACTCTACCCTGCACTATTCCCACGCAGAGTTAAGTGTCCATAAATCATAAGATGTCATAAGATCTTGTTTTTTTCCATTGCCTACAGTTTATGTCATGCTTTTCTTTTTCTTTTCTTTTTTTTTTTTAGAGGGAGGGAAAGAGAGGGAGGGAGGGAGGGAGAGAGAGAGAGAGATTTTTTTAATATTTATTTTTTAGTTTTCGGCGGACACACCATCTTTGTTTGTATGTGGTGCTGAGGATCGAACCCGCGCCGCACGCACGCCAGGCGAACGCGCTACCACTTGAGCCACATCCCCAGCCCCTATGTCATGCTTTTCTTAATATTCCAATGTGCTGTATCTTGGAATGAAACCTAACCTAGTAATAGTTACCCTTGATCCCTTATATCTCTTCCTACAACCTTATTTTTCCTCCCATTCATAGCCAAACCTCTAACAAAGTTGTTTAAGGTTACCATGTGCCCCACCCTACATTAAGAATTTTGCATATTCATTTGCAAAATATTTTTAATTTTTTTTTAGTTGTAGTTGAACACAATACCTTTATTTAATTTGTTTATTTCTTATATGGTGCTAAGGATCAAACCCAGCACCACCCATGTGTGTTAGGGAAGCAATCTACTGCTGAGCCACAACCCCAGCCCCCCCTCCCCCCGACAAAACATAAAAATAAATAAATGAAATAAAGATATTGTGTCCATCTACAACTAAAAAAATGTTTTTTAAAAAAAGAATAATCATTGTAATGCTGGGTACAGTGGCGCACGCCTGTAATCCCAGCGGCTCTGGAGGCTGAAGCAGGAGCATCCCCGAGTTCAAAGCTAGTCTCAGAAATGGCAAGGTGTTAAGTAACCCAGTGAGACCCTGTCTCTAAATAAAATACAAAATAGGTCTGGAGATGTGACTCAGTGGTCAAGTGCCCTGAGCTCAATCCCCAGTATCAAAAATAAAGAAAGAAAATAATCACAGTATCAAATACTATGTACAATTTTCCTTTTTACTATAAACTACTATAAACTTTAAAAAGGAGACAAAACTATCACAGACAGAACTATCACAGACTTATTACTGAGTTTGAATTATCATCTCAGGGTC